CGCGTTACACGCATTCATTCTTATCATCGATTCGTCGAACCTGTTTTCACACGACCACTATCACGCGAGAACCGTCGCATATTTTCTAATCCGCGTATAACCAGCAACAAAAATCTGTATATTTAACGAATTTTATATATGTGAAAGAGGGCTAACAGTATTCTTTAATCACTGCTTTTAATTAATTTGTAGTAGGCACTGAATTTCAAACGATAGTTAATGAATCCTGGACCCATATACACATAAACATTATTACGACTTGGTGGTAGAAGCTAATACAGTCAAACAGATATTGAGAGATGTGGTAGCGACACGTAAATTCAGATTCGAATATTTTTTTTATTTATTACAATTAAATCTTTTGCAATTTGTCAATGTTTTGACGTTTTAACAAAGTCTTGTGCCTTGATTTTCAATTTAAAACAAATTCTATTTAAAAAGATATTATTAATACAGAGATATGTTTAAAAAATCACTAGAAGTTTACTAGAAGAGCTGATTACAAGATTTTCTTCATCTAGTTTTGTTTTTATCAAGAAGTTAACTGGAATTCAAGATAATTCATATAACGAACTTACAAATATGTTCTTTTTTTTATTTTTGATGGATTTGATTTTGATGAATGACTGATAGTGAGAAAGTTTATCGAATTTGTTCGAAATTGCATTGTTTATATTACGGAATTAAATCAATAGACATAGGATGAATCATAGGAAAAGTACCTAAGTAGAGAATCCTACCAAAAAATGTTCTCATATTAATTGACATGAAATTTCTGACTGTTCGGCCAGCGAAGTACATATGAAATATGTTTACTAGTTAATTAATAAATTGCAATACAAAATAAAAAGAGGAAGAACACTGAGAAAACAAAAGTAGACAGGATAAAAATTTGGCTAGCGAATGACGTGATACAAAGAAATGCGAACGCTCGCGATGATTGACAAAGATTTACATACGACGCGACACATCAATTGTTCTCGAGTTATTATTCCGCCATTAATTAAAGTTACTGTTGAACATGCATCGGTCGCAAAAAACATTGCGGTGTCATATTTCAACTGTTTTTACGTCGAGTTCGTTATATTCTCGGTTCGGCAAGTGTAATAGAGGTTTTCGCGAGTGAGTGAACGCGTCGAACGAGAACGTAGCGTGACATCGCAACAGGAAAACTCGGAAGAGGTACGTTGTCGAGGTCAGTTACGAGGTTTCGCCCCATTTTTTCCCTTCCTCTTTTTACTTCGCGGCAGCGGCCTCTTGATTGCGATTTATGTCGACGACACGCGCTTGCGCTACGCCCCCGCGTTTGTTTCTCATTGCTCCATTCATTCCCGTCGGTCCCTTTTCGTTGAACCGCGTGAATTTTATTGCGTTTCATCCCTCGTCCGTTTTAACGCCGTTTCGATGGACCTTCCGATCGTGGAACGGGACCTTTCCCGACTTTAATCAGTCGCGTTTCAACTGGAAGTTATGCACAGGGAGGACGGCGTATGAGAAATTTTTCTAGAATGGGAACCGAGTGTGAATTGTGAATGAGGGACAAACTAGAGCTCAATGAGGACAAACCATTTCACGGGTAAAACGTAAAGTTAAAACATTTTTAATTTTCAACATGGCGTTTTATTATTGAATATTGTGTTCCACTGCGATGCTTTTAAAATCACGCTTGCTTATCGAACACTATATTTTTTTGTTGCGGTTCTTAATGGTAGAGTAATTGAAATATGCTGCTTAATCATTTTTATACAAACTGTACAGGGAATGTAATACTGATTTTTCATGTTGGTACTTAGTTCTGAGCCCAAAACACGAGTTTCGTTGAAAACAACATTCTTGCGGTCATTAAAATGGAAGTTTTGTTAAATTATGTTAGACCATAAATGGGAAAAAAGCTATTCTAGCGTACATGCTGGTACTAAAAGCTTTGTTCAAATAGATGGTAGCATGAAAAAAGGTATAATTGTGTTGCAAAATAAATGATAGGATTGAAACATCCTAATCTTTATTTCAATCAGAATAAAAAGCTGGTCCGTAATTGCGAAAAACAACTATTGTAGTATACAAAAATGTAATTCAAACACACGGAAATACGAAAATCGTAGTTATCTTGTAAAATAAACGACTGAAAAATTCTAATCTTTATTCTGATTTGAATAAAGATTAGAATGTAGGATGCAATTAACAAGGATGAACGGGCAACCGTGGCGCGAATTTCGATCCGTGATTGGTTTCCAAATCGGGCAACAATCAACCGGATGGAAATCTGCTCTTTTGTTTTAAATTTTACCCGAGTTTTCGCGATCAAATTCGCTCGCAATTTCGCTGGCTGCGTTTCATTCCCCTTCAACTCAATCCTTTTCATTCTGCTTTTCATTCCAATTTTCCAATTATATTTTACACATTAAAAATCGCTGGTCCGAAAAGTTCAAAAATTCGGTTTGACATTGATTTTTATTAGAGAACTCGAGCAGTTACCCTTTGAAAATGCAGGAATGTCATTTGGATGTTCGTGAAACCTGACGAGCATGAAATGGATTGTGTTGCAAGCCTTGCATTAAATACTCGAGGGAAGGGAGAAAATTGGGAAAGTAAAACAAATAATCCGCGAAACTGGTTGAATCGAAGCTTGGAACTAGCTCTGTCAACCTGGAACCGAAATACAGATTCGTGCCGAAAAACTAGCACAACTTCCGATTTGAAAGCGCGAGCGTAGGAATTTAGCGTTTCCCTTCGTTGGTAAAAATTAAAATCCAATCTCGCCGATCTCCGAGCGGAATTCTCGAGCCCGTAGGTACGTGGCGTACGAATGTACACACCGAGAATAGGCGATGCCTCTCGACTGCCTTTACCTGCTTCACCGAGCCGAGCCCCGATGATCGAGTCCATTGATTCTCCGCGCTCGACCCTACCTCCCCTCCTCCCTCCCCCCGACTTTTTTTTACTCGCGAGTTTTCTCCTGCACGCGGTACTCGACGATCATTTTCACGAGGAGAGAAAGAGTCTTCGTGGCTCGGGTCTGCGTGTACGCGACGAGGTTAATTTACCTTCGAGAACGGCTGAACGTCCTATATTCGAACGTTTGATCGCAAATCGACCGAGCCGACGCGACACAGCCGTCGACGTGTAAATTAAACGCGGAACATTTTTTTTTTTTTCCCCTCTCTTTTCATCCCTGGCTCTTTGTTCCGCGAGGAACCGCTGCCACTTGACCGTGAACGAATTTTTTTAATAACTAACCAAGCTTTGTTTGTAGGATAAAAACTGCTCGTTAGTGAATTCACCGTTGCCGAATTACTCGTAAGAATGAAATATAAACAAGCTGATTTAAATGAAACACGTAAATGTGGAATTGTGTCGAAGCACTTTGAAAAACTAAGCTTTATAAAATCTGGGATAACGTTCACGAGAAAAAGTCAACATAATGCGTTCGCGTAACAAAATTTGTATTCAATTCATCCATGGTCTGTTACCTATACAAAGTAATCTGCTTTTTAGGACAATTTCGTTGCAACGCGTCACGTAACGCGCTATTGTGCTGTATGGAACGGGAATTAAACGAATGAATGGTATGCATTAAAAACTGTGCATATAAAAAATCGAATAGCGTGAATCAAGATCGATACGTGGCGTAGCTGTTGATTGAAAATTGGTACGATACATTTTATTCCCCGCCACAATTGTTTTCCCGCTCGTCAACTGGGTCATTTGCCAATTAAAAAATTTCATGAATTGTTATTAAAGGAAGAATTGTACCCAGAATTGTATTATTTGAACAAACGTATGTGTATTATTATGCAGTAGATTTTCGCTTAATTGCATTGAACGCATGCTTGTTGTAAATATAAATCAATCCATTACAGGCGCAGTGGTATAAATCTCAAAAATTCTTGACGATTGAGACAAATCAAACGTTCGATACGGTGAACAAAGAATTAAAAAAAGCATGATTGAAGGGTCGACACCCGTGCATATAGTAGGTGTACGAGCGTGCACGTTCGTGGTCGGACAAATGTGACAGCCGGTGAATTTATTCGCGACGGGGTTTCACGAATTTCGCGATTTACAATGCGGAAACTCGCGCGTCTTGTCACCTCGCAGAAGCGAACTGAAATAAAAAAACTGATGGCCCGAGCCAACTAGAAAATTGATTTATCAAAATACGACGCAGATTAGCTCACAATTTTAGACATTTTTATTGAAAGAATTCTTTTTATTATGTAGACAAAAATGATCGGTTCGTCATTTAGAATTGTACAATAAATGAATACAATGGTATCCTCGTACATCCCATTTTTTTTCTGGGATATGTGGGTGCCAGTCATCCTCGTCAATTCCTGGAAGTGCTCAATCCACACGAGCCTCGATTTCTTATTTTTTTACTACTTACTTACTTTTACCTATGGTGTGCGCTGGAATGACGAGTTTCTACAAAATCCATTCAGGACAATCTGGGTTTCGATCGATGATCAAATAAATCCGAACGCTACTGTAAATTATTTAACTGTTCACTCGATTTATCTTAAATTTAAATTGTCATCTCTATCATGACATACGACGAGTGAGAAGAGTTACAATGTGCAAAATTGAGAGGAAGTGGAAACGTCTAATCTAAAAATTCACTCGCATGTTAGTAGCGAGGCACGCGTAAGAAATATGATTATTTCCAAGGGGATCATGGTCCATTCGAGGCACGTCGAAGGAAATCAGAATGAAAATTACGGCCAACTCGCATCGACAAGGTTGCAATTTCGCGGTAATACGGATACGCGGTGAATTTCTGTAAGTAACCTAACGTCGTCGTCGATAACTGGCCGGAAATGGGAGCATTCCGGTCGCGGATCGCGCTAATGATGACGGAGTGAGGACCAGTTCGAGGAATTATTATCGATAATCGTGAAAATACGAGAACGCTCCGCTGGCTTCTTGCGTTTCCTTACGTAAAGCAAGAAACGTAGGATACCGAATCGAGGGTAATTAGTTATATACGTCTTTTCTGTTCCAGGTATGGATTTTCCTTCGTTTATGGCAAACGTGCTTTTACGTCCAATTAGTGAGTTATTGCTTTCAAATTTTTCTCAACTCTTATCGTTCCACTGTGCTAACAATACAATAGGCAGATTAATAAATAATTTAATAAATCAGGTACGAGTTAAATAAAAATTCTAAGCGAAACAAATTAAATAAAATATATTTAAAAACAATCAACGATGCAATTGACTTTTTTTTTTATCATAGAACTCGCGTGTCGAAGGCTAATGAATTTCTCGGCAAAGTTTCACGAGAAGATGGACTATCGATTGAATCTCATTCCGCGCCGCGGGTCGTAATTAAAAATCTTGTGCCCGCTGGAAAAAACTTTGAATAAAAGTTGATACGATCATCGTCGGAAGCCAGAAGAATAAAATTAAATACGGGTATTTGTTGGAATTTCTGTAGGAAATTTTAAATCGTTTTTAATATTCAAACTTTTCCTTTGCTTCGAATCGTTGTACTTACAATACGTAATTGGATATTTATATGAAACGTGCCGTGTTTGATTTTTCTGCAAGTGTTCATGATTTCTCGCAACTAAATTATATTGATTTCCTATTTATAGGAAATATAATGTGAAAGTTTTGTATCGAAGCAACATTCGAGTTTTCTCTTGAACGCGAAGTAAATTCGATTCGATCCGTGGGGTGGAGATTCTGCGATCCGTAATCTAAGAGTTAAACGGCTCGCGCGAGAACGGATTAGATTTATTTCGCTTTTTATGGCCGACGCGATCAAAAGCGTGAGCAAAGAGATAATAGAAAGTTACGCTTGTATCTAAATGAAAATCGTCACTCTCGACGCGTTCGCTGGGGAGAGAGCAGGATGCCGACGTAATGTATTCTTCTAAAAAAAAGAAAAAAGACGAATTGCGCCGGGAAAAATCGTGGATCATTTGAAATAATGAAAGGGGCGGTATTAATAAAGTAGGGGAGGCGATTTCGCGAATTTAAGTAGAACGGGAATTATATTTTCAATTTATATCGCGACCGTGGGATTTCGTCATTCCATTTTCCGTTGCGAAATTTCCACTGGTACATTTGCATTTCATATTTATCATCGAATTTAAATTCCGCTTTCGGCCGAATAATTTTCTGCCCGTCATTTTCTGTACAATCGTCGATCCTGACCTGCCTAAGTATCTCATATTTGCCCTTTATTGCTATTCAATGGATCACGCGAACTCGTATCTTTTTCCAAAGCTTTCAAACAGTTCATTAGAAGCTTCTTACAATTCGTACGAAATTATTCCACGTTGTTGCAAATATTCCTTTAGGTTCTCTGTCCATTTTTTGTATCATTTATCAAAATGAATTGCGAAAATTGTTTATACAGAAATATAGTAATTTCTCAAATTCTGGTCGCGAACATATTGGTTGCTGTCAGGGTTAGTCGAATTACAGAAAGAGCAGGTTGGTTCTTCTAGATTGAAAAAGGGAACTGCTAATCCCTCCTAATACCCCGGCGTTCGATCTCCTCCAGTTTCACTCGACTCCCTCGCCACCTCCTCGACAACCCAATTTCCCTGGAATCCGACGGATCTTCGAGTTTCACTGGTCGCATCCTGCGATCTCTCGTTGCGCCTTTAGTGGATTCGACTTTTCTTTCGTCGAATAATTAGCGAGGTACGTATAATTAGGGACGAACCTTTTCATTCTTTGCGAACGACTCAGCGAGGCCAACCTGAAGCATCATAACTTCTGTGCGAGTAGAAATGGAAATGAAATAATGTTCCACGTTGTTTTCTAATTACATATACAATCGAATCAGACGACTTGTTTCGTTATTTTTGGTAATGTATGTACATATTGAAAAAGTTCGTAGATCCTTGACAAGTTTGCTAACAATTCAAGAGACGGATTATATTAGCATTGATAATCGAGCGAATAAAACTTCGTACAATGCACAGATATTCTCAATGGGTCGTTGAATTAATACATGCAAATGTAAGATGGGATATAAATATGACAAAAGGATTTCGTATGTCGTTTGCAGAACATTTTCTATTAACTCTTCTGTATTATTAATTCGCGACACATCCCGGTTGCCATTAAATCCATCGATTGCAAAGCTTGGTTAAAACGACAAATTGCAAACTCGAGGAGAGCAGACCACTGCTGATTCGATCTCGTTCCCCGATCACCAGGGGACCACACGTAGGCTTGCTTTTCTTCCCGGGGGAATCGAACCACCCCCTCCCTTTTGCTCGAACGAAATAAGAAGAACCGAAGTAGGAACACAAGGGTTCATCGCGATGGAAGGCACGGCGGGTCGAGCCCGTTTTCATAGTTGGCCGAATCGCTGTAGGCGTCCTCGGCTTAGAGAAGAGACGGTTCTCTCGTTATCCGGAAAGCAAACTTCTTCGGCCGTGCCGCGAGCCACCCGCCAGGACGATGAACGAAGCGATAAGAGGGGGGGTGGCACCCGTGCCGAGATAAGCCGAGGTTTTCTTAAGGCCCCACGGAGCTTACGGAGCTTGCCACGCCAAACCCGTTCCGTGTGTCTCATTAATAGTTTCTAGACGAGGTGCGCGTCTAAGATAAAGGCGAGGCACGATCGCGGGGGGGATGAAGAAACGCATCGTTTTCACGCTGGAATTAAATTTCGGGACGGTGCTTGCACCGGCTAGATACGCTTCTTACGTGGCTCACGCACACAGCTAGTTTAAACCGGTGGTTTATCTTCGCAAAGCGAAACACGCGTTATCGACACGCCTCGTTGAACTATGGATCCGCGAAACCAGTCCGGTACATGAAAAATGGATCGAGATAGACAGAACCGTTCTCCGGGTCTACGGGGTTACCTCGATTTTTACAGGAAATTGATGATCGCCTTTTTTCTCTGGTAAAACTGTGAAAGTGATTAGTTATCTTTCTCGTTTTTAGTACAGATAGTTTTTACTTGTATCGGAGAATTGTTCTATTCGGGAAAGAACGATAATTTTTAATTGATTAGGTTTCTTTTGTAATGAGAGCTTGATAGGAAACACAGTGTATCGAAATTGCATTGCAAACTGTTTCCTTGCAAAGCATCTGCACAAGCCCAAGGGACGCGGTCTATTGGCAATGCTGTAGCTCGATAATTCGAGTCCTGGCAACTGCGGTTGCAATCGCTCGCGGCATTGATTTATATCATCGCGATCGGTAGGAATATTAAATTATCATCGCGAAATTCGCGTTTCGGCCGCGCTCACCTACGCGCGCATTATATCCCACCCGTTGACCAAAAGTTTATAATCGCTGGCAATGCATCGAATTTCTCGCTAATTTCACCATCGATCACCGAATGAATACGAATATTAAACGAGTTTTGTTTTAAATCTTCGTCAAAATATAATGTATATAAACGTATAAAAGATAAAATGATTTAATTTTGAATTCGTTTACTCGCGTATGAAGTTTTGCTCGAATGTGTGCGAAATTTATGATTCCCAAGGAAGTCAAATACGAACGAGGCTGTTCAATGTTTCATCGACGCGTAACTATAGTATAACGTGATAAGTGTTAATATACACCGCCCGTGCGCGCGCGCGCGCGCGCGCATAATGCAGTGATAAGGCGAACGCCGCAATCTCGGTTTTAATAACAAGTGCCTCGGGAGAAAATAAAAAGCTCCCGGTGTACGCACATGCTCTATGCCTCACCCCGAGTTCGTTAAAAAGAAGAACGTTTCTTAATTGCTGTTCTGGCTTATGCAAATTAAGATAAACGCTCCGGGCTTTAGCTGAACCGTCGATTTTTTATATTTCATACTGAATCATTTTCATAATTAAGATCGTACGATTGCAAAATTATCTTAAGTCAGCTGGCTCGTGTTTTAAAAAAAAGGAATGGCCTTACGCTTCTATTTTGGTCAGTAGGTATGCGTGTCGATGACCGTATTTATCAGCGTTTATTAACTCGTTCAAGTGTTTTCTCGCCTAAAGGGATTTTCAGTTACGTTACGAGCGAGCATTATTCATTTTCTGCGAAATTATCGACGTTTCCAACGCTTGGCTCACGTTTGTGCTCTCTCTCTCTCTCTCTTTTTCCTTTCTTCTCTCTCGCTCGCTCGCTCGCAGCACATAATGAAGCCAATTTAAGGATTCAGCGTTCGACGGTTTAATTATTTTCTCACGCGTGTTCGGGCATTATTCGCGGTAAATTAAAGGCGCACAATAAGTGAGAAACCACGCCACTGGATCTCGATTATCGGAACCACCTATTATTTCGTGCTTTCAGCGCTCCGCTCGTTACGTGCCCTTTATTGCGCCCGCGTAAATCTGTCCTAGTGTCCAGAAAACCGGAAAAATAGTGATAGGGAATAGTGGAAATGGGAAACTCTGTTATCTCGTTAATATACGCAATGGTACTGACTCGATTCTATGAAAATGTTTGAACTTGATCGTCCCGCGTGCACTGTAATATTAATTTCGAAATTTTATTTAAGAAAATGGATTTAGAGCCTTACTCCGCGAAGTTAACACGAATCTCTGAACTTCTTAAACTAACACTGACATTCGAAGTTTAACGCATTATCATAACTTCGTTCATCGCCTTAACAGCCCCACAGCCGTTACAGAACTCGTAAAACACGTATACTTATTGAAAAGTTATTTAATAATCTTCCCGTCGTGGTAATAACTCTTCCATATAGTTAATTAAAACCTAGATCGTGTTTAGTTTTATTCTTACCATCCAACACCTTCGCGCGTTTCAAAATTGATGTACAATGTATGATATTTTGTATGTATTGATATTTGATGTACAACTGAATAGACTTGAAAGGATTCTAGGATTGCTTTCTATAATCTGTCGATAACGTCGTAAGTGACAGGGAAATTGTAATGGAATACATTGGCCGACAGGTCCATTCCTAGACCTAGCAAAGGTAAACGCGAATGGTTAAAAAGATAAATTCGGTGACGGAGTTTGTAGCGAGAGGAGCGTCGCGATAAACGACAAAGGAGAAACGTCGTTCACGCGTTAATCCGTTAGAGTAAAATGCTCGACGGGCTCGCTTCAGGGACAGATCGGTAAC